GTGTACGAATTGTGCTGTACAAATAAACTTGCCTTGCCTTGCCTTACTTACTAAAGTGACGCGAGCAAAGCCATGAAAAGTTTTAAAATAGTCTGAAAACTCAAGGAAAAAAAAAGACAAAATGGATTTAAAGAGCAGGTCATCGGTGCGAGCGTCATGGTCCAGTTTAAGAGTTTGATTTTCAACTAAATCCTTTTTTTGAGCCCGTGTCCCCTGTCCCAGCAGATTTATCCAAAACCACCGATTTGTCCCAGTTTCATACAAAAAATGTCCCTGTTGTCCCTATTTTTGACCAGTCTGGTCCTGCCGACAGTAAAGACACACAAACACCGACATTTCTTTAGGTAAAACACAAAAATTCTGCTTAAAAACGACCAATAAACAAAGAAAATGTGAATATACTCGGGGCAGTGTCGGGGAGTAACAGATTACATGTACTGGAGTTATGTAATCAGAGTACAAATGATGAGTAAAAGTACTCAGTTACAGTTACTGTTTCAGTGAGTGGTAATTAGATTACAGTTACTTTGTTGAAATAAATGGATTACACAGAGGGATTTTCCTGTTTTCCTTTTTTCGTGTTTTGGCTCTATCCCCCTTTTTCGGTAATTCCACTCATTGCCGGAAACTAAACCAGGCCTAAATCAGGACTAAAACCAGGTCTAAACTAGAACTAAACCAGGTCTAAAACCAGGTCTAAAACCAGGTCTAAACTAGAACTAAACCAGGTCTAAAACCAGGTCTAAACTAGAACTAAACCAGGTCTAAAACCAGGTCTAAAACCAGGTCTAAACTAGAACTAAACCAGGTCTAAAACCAGGTCTAAAACCAGTCTAAACTAGAACTAAACCAGGTCTAAACCAGGACTAAAACCAGGTCTAAAACTAAACTAAACAAAGGTCTAAACCAGGTCTAAACTAGAATCTAAACCAGGACTAAAACCAGGTCTAAACCAGGTCTAAAACCAGGAAAACCAGGACTAAAACCAGATCTAAACCAGGTCTAAACCAGGTCTAAAACCAGGTCTAAACCAGGACTAAAACCAGATCTAAACTAGGTCTAAACTAGAACTAAACAAGGTCTAAACCAGGTCTAAACTAGGCCTAAAACCAGGACTAAACCAGGTCTAAACCAGGTCTAAACCAGGTCTAAACCGGGACTAAAACAGGATTTAACAGGACTAAATCCTGCTGTGTGGACGTGTTTCTTCGTCTTTTATCAATAATATTTTTAATTTGTTTAAGTAAAGTCTGGGCTTTTTATTTTCTTTTATCAGACAAAACTTCTTATGTTATGATCCGAGTCTTTGTTTCTCTACAGTAAATCAAGTAATCCAAAGTAATCAGATTACATTACTCACTTTAAGTAAATTAATGGATTACGTTACAGACTACATTCTGGTGTGTGTAATCTGTAATCTGTAGGGGATTACATTTTAAAAGTAAATTTCCCAACACTGACTAGGGGTGTGCAAAAATATCGAAATATCAATATATCGTATCGTTTACTGTGACGATACAGCATCGATATTGTGGGCTGCTGTATCGATATATCGCCAAGAGTATTTTTTGGTTTATTTTGCTAAATTATTTTCTTACAGCTACAGTTTTGTTGCTTGTTTACGCGACACATTTGACAGTTTCACTTTTTGATGAGTAAAATGGGAGTTTTTCATTTTAAGTTTGCACAATAAGAGGTGTAACAAAGACTTTTAGTATCACAGCCACGATATAGCCTTTATTTTTTACCGAACCGTATCGAATCGTTTTGAAATATATCGTATCGAATCGAAAGTGCACTGTATCGAAATATGTATCGTATCGTGGCCTTTCTGATCAGATCGTGTTAAAATTAAACTCAGATTAAAGTCTAACAGAGAGCGTCTACAGTTAGTGGACAGTAAGGAGCATTAAGAGAAACAAACGGACGACACTTGAGTCTGATCCTGAGTCCAAACGTCCTCGATCCATCGGCAGATCGTGGTGTAATTCTTATTTCCTACGAGGACGACTCAAATAAACACTGAGTAATAATGTGTTTAATTCAGCTTTGAGCACATTCGTTTACGTTTTACAGGAACTAAACTTAAAACCACATGACTCATTTGCATAAACTATAAGCTCTGAAAAAAACAACTCGCTCTTTTACTCCGCGAGGCTCCTGATTTCGGTCGCCGTAATTCTCCGACAATCCATCAAGAGGTGCGGCTTCGTAGTTTAACAAAGTCGTACTAAAACATTTTGACAGATTTTTGAGCGACGTGTACCACAGAAAATCAGTTCGATGTCAGTAACACAACCAGAATTAAAACATAAGATGCACGGTCGCTTTTTGAGAAAATTAAAAGGATTTTAAGTGCGCCTTATAGTATGAAAAATACGGTAACGGTAACTGGTGGAGAGTCCGTAAAAAAAAAAAAAAAAAAAAGCTTTTCTGGTGGAGATGTTATCGTAAGTCTGTGCATTTAATTTAATTTTGAGTCTCCAAACTCATATAATCGAGCTGAAATGGAGATTTACAAAGTTTATTTCGAGTTTTTTTAAATTTAAATAAGTATATTTATTTTATTTTTAAATATAGAGATTGTAGAACAGCTGGATATAGAGTTTATTTTGGACACATTTATGTTTTTCTATGTCTTATTTCATGTTCAAAGTTTATTTTTTATTCATTTTATGTTTTATTCATTGCAAAACTGATCTAAGGTTCAGATTTGTAGCCTGAATTTGTTTTCAATTTGAAAGTTTTGCACAAATTATCGTAATTATCATTGCGTAAAGTTTTTTTTTTTTTTTTTGAGATAGAGAGAAAATGCTGAATAAATGCATCATGTAACTAAAAAATAATCGTTTGAATAATCGTGATAATGATTTTTTCCATAATCGAGCAGCTCTATGTTATCACTTTGTCTGGAATGTTTCGCAGTATGGCTTTAAACCTTTCTATCTTCACGGAGAACAAACCAGACGACCAAGAAGTTACTGACCTGTAACTTCTTGGTGTGGAAATCTGTGGAAATGTCTGTTTTTCTTGGTATTTTTGAGGTATTTTTTGTAAATTTTGAGCTTTAAATCCACCTGTAACTGACTAAATGTAAAGTCGAGCCGTTTATTTATGTTATTTAATGTTTCAAAATGTGACATCTCATTAAAAACACGTATGATTTTCGTTCAGTTTTCATTTATTGGAGCATAAATCGATGTAATAATTCCAGCGACAGGCGCAGACCTTTCGTAATCCCACAGGTGTTTTTTTTTTTTTTTTTTTTACTCACAGACCACACGGCAATGAGACACGAGATTAATGCCGCGACCTTTGGGAGACATTAACCGAACTCTTGAGAAACGCAATATTTTCTGTGGTTATCTGCAAAGGCGTGAACGATAAGAAACGTCGAGTGTTTAGAGAATTCTCCGCGTTACGGCGTCGCTCTGTTGATTTAACATCAGACTCACCCGAGTAAATCAGCTTTAATGTGAGCGCAGGTTTCAAGTATTTACACTAAATAATCCAGACACACACACGGTTTTTCCTTCACGGCGACAGTTTCGTCTTTGAACTGAAAAAAATTTATTCATTGTAATAAATAATTCACAATGTTAAAGACGCTCTGCCGGATTATTTTTCCATTTTTGAGTTAAACGTGTCCTGCCCCAGAACAGATAAATCGTGTTTAAGCAGCGGAAAATACGTCAGATTGTTAAAACTGTGACACAAAAATGCACCGTTGGCATGCTAGTTGTTGTTTTAGTGTAACTGTGATGGAAAAAAACTCAGCTCTGGATTAAGAAAATCGTAAATAGAAGCTCTGAACGATCTGAACATAAACGAGAAAGAAGTTTGGACCAACGCAAACGGTTTTAAATCAACAAGTTCTGTTTTTTGACGTTTTTTGACTTTAAAGTTACACAAATTTACAACGAAACAGCAACAACGTAAACTCGGCAAACACGCGAAACACTCGTAAAATACTAGAGCTGCTCGATTATGGAAAAAAATCATTATCGTAATTATTTTGGTCAATACTGAAATTTTTAGTTTAGCTACAAATCTGAACAATCTTAGAACAGTTTTGCGATGGATAAAACTAAAATTAATAAAATATTCTTTTAACATAAAATAAGGTGCAGAGGCTGGAGTGTAAATTGACACTTTTAAAAAAAAAAAATGCAATTTCTTCAGTGCTTTTTTCTCCACATACTGTATGTCACAGTGTATGTATAGTTTTTTGTTTTGTTTTGTTTTTCCACACATAAAATTAATATTAATGTAAGGGTATATCAAAAAAGTAAATAAAATGAAAATAAACAGTAATGATAAAATAAAATAATAAAATGAAAATAAAATAAAATAAAAAAATAAACAGTAACTATAAAATAAAAAAAAACAGTAATGATAAAATAAAAATGAAAATAAACTGTAATGATAAAATAAAAAAAAAACAGTAATGATAAAATAAAATAAATGGTAATGATAAAATAAATTGAAAATAAAATAAAATGAAAATAAACAGTAATGATAAAATAAAAATAAATGGTAATGATAAAATGAAAATAAAATGAAAAAATAAAATAAAAATAAACAGTAACTATAAAATAAATAAAAAAATAGTAATGATAAAATAAAATGAAAATAAACTGTAATGATAAAATAAAAAAAACAGTAATGATAAAATAAAATAAAAATAAAATGAAAATAAATGGTAATGATAAAATAAAATAAAATGAAAATAAACAGTAATGATAAAATAAAAATAAATGGTAATGAAAATAAAATGAAAATAAAATAAAAATAAACAGTAATGATAAAATGAAATAAAAATAAAATAAAAATAAAATGAAAATAATATAATATAATATTTTGAATGAAATCAAAAATAATCATGTGCAGTTCTGCCCACGTTACCAGATGTAAATTCCGTCTCACACACAAACACACAGTAATAATCCATTTTAAAAAATCAGTCAATCAAATAAATCATTAAAGTTGCAGTGACGTACCTTCGGCGACGGCGGCGGGCTTCGGCTTCTCATCTGCGGGAGACAAAATGGAGGACAGGGATGAGCGCAGGAAATCAGAGCATCAGTAACACGAGACGCAGATAAAACGAGAGGAAACAAGAGAGTGTATCTGGGTTTGTGTGTTCAGGAGAAAACGACACCGGCAGAGTCGTCCCATTTAACTCTGAGGGTGTGACTCACGTGCAGAAGAACACAATAACATCACAATAACATCACAATAACAACACAATAACATCACAATAACAACACAATAACAACACAATAACATCACAATAACAACACAATAACATCACAATACATCACAACACAATAACAACACAATAACAAACACACAATAACATCACAATAACAACACAATAACATCACAATAACAACACAATAACAACACAATAACAACACAATAACAACACAATAACATCACAATAACATCACAATAACAACACAATAACAACACAATAACATCACAATAACAACATCACAATAACATCACAATACACAATCACAACACAATAACATCACAATAACATCACAAACACAATAACAACACAATAACATCACAATAACAACACAATAACATCACAATAACATCACAATAACAACACAATAACAACACAATAACATCACAATAACAACACAATAACATCACAATAACAACACAATAACATCACAATAACAACACAATAACAACACAATAACATCACAATAACAATCACACAATAATATCACAATAACATCACAATAACATCACAATAACACAATAACAATCACAATCACAATAACAATAACAACACAATAACATCACAATAACAACACAATAACAACACAATAACATCACAATAACATCACATCACAAACAATAACAACAACACAATAACATCACAATACACACACAATAACAACACAATAACAACACAATAACAACACAATAACAACACAATAACAATCACAATAACAACACAATAACAACACAATAACAACACAATAACATCACATTGTGCACGACTAAGAGTTTAGACACGTTTTCAGCTGTTTCGTCTTTATTTCCATGATTTTTTACTCTGTAGATTCTCACTGAAGGATTTAAAAACCATTTCAGGGACTTGATCGTGCAGCTCACTCAGAGAACACAGAGTTTTTACTGTCGACAAAGAAAAAGGAAAACCGCTTTTTTACAGTCTTGGTCTCGTCTTGGACTCGAGTGTATTTGGACTTGGTCTTGTCTCGGACTCGGTCTTTGTCTCGAGACTGGCTTCGAGGCCATTTTGTTACAGTCTTGATCGCCTCTCGGACTCTAGCACATTTGGTCTCGGTCTTGTCTCGGTCTCGTCTCGGTCTCGTCTCAGTCTTAAAGGTGCTCGGTCTCGTCTCGGTCTCGTCTCGGTCTCGTCTCGTCTCGGTCTCGTCTCGGTCTCGGTCTCTCGTCTCGTCTCGGTCTCGTCTCGGTCTCGTCTCGGTCTTCTCTTGGTCTTGAAGGCGCTTGGTCTCAGTCTCGTCTCGGTCTCGTCTCGGTCTCATAGGTGCTTGGTCTTGGTCTTGTCTCGGTCTTGAAGGCACTTGGTCTTGTTCCAGTCTCAGACTCGGTCTTGATCTCGAAACCAGCCTTGAGACCGCTTTTTTACGGTCTTGGTCTTGTCTCGGACTCAAACACATTTGGACTAATTTTTGTCTCAATCTTGATGAGGCTTGATCTCGGTCTTGGTCTCGAGACTGGCCTTTTTTACAGTCTTGATCTCGCCTCGGACTCGAGTGCATTTGAACTCTGTCTTGTCTTGGATTCAAGGTCTGAAACTTGAAGGCACTTGGTCTCGGTCTCGTCTCGGTCTCGTCTCGGTCTCGTCTCGGTCTCGTCTCGGTCTCGTCTCGGTCTCGTCTCGGTCTCGTCTCGGTCTCGAAGGCACTTGGTCTCGTTCTTGTCTCAGACTTGATCTTGATCTCGAGACCAGCCTCAAGACCGCTTTTTTACAGTCTTGGTCTTGTCTTGGACTGAAGCGCATTTGGACTCAGTCTTGTCTCGGTCTTGATGGCGCTTGGAATCGGTCTTGTCTTGGACTCGGTCTTGATCTTGAGGCTGGCCTTGAGACCGCTGTTTTAGTCTTTGTCTCGTCTCAGACTCGAGCGCATTTGGACTTGGTCTTTTCTCAGACTCAGTCTTGGTCTCGGCTTTGAAATCGCTTTTTTACAGTCTTGATCGCCTCTCGGACTCTAGCACATTTGGATTCGGTCTCGTCTCGGGCTCGTCTCGGTCTCGATCTTGAGACCGGCCTCGAGACCACTTTTTTATGGTCTTGGTCTTATCTCGGACTCAAACACATTTGGACTCATTCTTGTCTCAGTCTTGATGACACTTGATCTCGGTCTTGGTCTCGAGACCGGCCTCAAGTCCGCTTTTCTATCCTGATCCTGATCGCCTCTCGGACTCGGTCTCGTCTCGGTCTTGATGCCGCTTGGACTCGGTCTTGTCTTGGACTCGGTCTTGATCTTGAGACTGGCCTCGAGACCGCTTGTTTTACAGTCTTGGTCTCGTCTCAGACTCGAGCGGATTTTAACTCAGTCTCGTCTCGGTCTTGATGGCGCTTGGTCTCAGTCTCGTCTCGGTCTCGACCCTCAGAGGTCTTGGTCTTGTCCTGGTCTCTGGACCCTGTGGTCTGGGACTGGTCTTGGTCTCGGTCCGTTCGCTCTCGACTCCAGCACGAGGATAATCCCATAAATCTTTGGTGCGACAGGAGCTCAGTTGGTAAAGAGTTTTTCCGCGGGCGGTCGGTGTGATTCCAGCTCCGATTGAGGAACACTGTTGTTGTGTCCTTGAGCAAGACACTTAACCCTCCTCTCCCCAGTGTCTGTGTGCGCTCGAGTGGGTTTTGTGTGAGTGTTTGCGTTGGAAAAACCCTCGGCCGTAAATCTTGTATCATAAAAAGAAAAGCTCTGAACGGGAGGGTGTGTCCAGACTTTTCACCGGTCGAGGATTTATTTGAAAACGCGGCGTCAGATAAGAGCGCGGTGAGTCAGAGTCTCGGGATCTCAGGGTTTGGGCCGGACTCTGGACCGGACTCTGGACCGGACGTGGAAAAGCGGCGCGTTGTTGACGGTTCACGGTGACGTCGCGCCGGGGGGGGGGGGCTCTACATGCAGGTCTGTGATGGAATGTTGAGCGAGTTTGACGTTTACATGAAGCACGCAAAAAACAAAAACTCTTAGAAATGTTTTTAAATGGTCTGAAAATTAAACCTGTTACCCGCCCGTGGACTAAATCAGAACTAAACCAGGATGAAAATAGGACTAAACCAGGTCTAAACCAGGACTGAATCAGGACTGAACCAGGTCTACACCAGGTCTAAACTAGGACTGAGCCAGGACTAAAAAAGGATGAAAATAGGACTAAACCAGGTCTATACTAAGACTAAGCCAGGACTAAATCAAGTCTAAACAAGGATCAAACCAGGACTAAACCAGGTCTAAACCAGGACTCAAACCAGGACTAAACCAGGACGAAAATAGGACTAAATCAGGTCTAAACCAGGACTAAACCAGGTCTAAAACCAGGACAGAACCAGGACTAAAAAGGGACCAAACAAGGTCTAAACCAGGACTAAACCAGGATCGAGTTTTGGAGATGTAGACAGACTAAAAATAAATTTTTACTCAAATATTTGAATAGAACAAACACAAGTCCAGGTTTGTTTTTGACGAGGAAACAACACGAGAACACGATTTAAACCTCACGAGAGTCCGTTTGGTTTAATATTCGACGTTTAAACTAATTCTGATCAGTAAAATTAAAAGAAAACGTGACAAAAGTGAGTCGTTGTTCCACCGGTCGTCGTTCACTGGTGGAAAAAGGGTGTGGGGACCAAACTGTGAAAACAAAAAACCAAACAAACAAAAAACATATAAATCCTCCGCGTGTTTTTCATCAAACTTTATTAAATCGTCAAATCCGGACTTGGCGTGACGCAGGGCGGCGCTCGGTGGCACGAGGGTGAGTCACTCTGCCCCGCGGCCACACGGCCCCGGGTTCGATTCCCAAACCGCACCAGGCTTTTCTGTTTTTGAGTTTGTGCTCCAGTCTCCCCCTGCAGGACGACCGAGGTACTGACACCGACATACTCCAGATCCTCCTGTTCTAATGTTTCCTCCTCATCCCGTATCACCACATGACATCACAAGGTGGAACAGAGTTTTGTTTTTTTCAGTTTGAGGGAAGGACTCAGTTCAAATCCAGTTTTTAGTGCAGCGGTTTTCATAAAACCATCCCTGCTCTGGTCCAGTCCTGGTTCAGTCCTGGTTTACACCTTATTTAGTCCTGGTTTAGTCCTGGCTTAGTTCTAGTTTAGACCTGGTGTAGACCTGGCTAAATCCTGGTTTAGTCCTGGTTTGGTCCTTGTTTGGTCCTGGTTCAAGTCCTGATTTGGTCTTTGTTCAGTCCTGGTCTAGTCCTGGTCTAGTCCTGGTTTTAGACCTGGTCCAGTCCTGGTTTTAGACCTGGTCCAGTCCTGGTTTTAGACCTGGTCCAGTCCTGGTTCAGTCCCGGTTCAGTCCCTGGTTCAAGTCCTGGTTCAAGTCCTCACTCAGTCCTGGTTTAGTCCTGGTTTTAGTTCTTGTTCAGTCCTGGTTTAGTCCTAGTTTAATCCTAGTTTAGACCTGGTTTAGACCTGGTTCACTCCTGGGTTTAGTCCTAATTCGGTCCTGATTTAGACCTGGTTCAGTCCTGGTTTAGTCCTGGCTTAGTCCTAGTTTAGACCTGGTGTAGACCTGGCTAAGTCCTGGTTTAGTCCTGGTTTGGTCCTTGTTTGGTCCTTGTTTGGTCCTGGTTTGGTCCTTGTTTGGTCCTGGTTCAAGTCCTGGTTCCTGTTCAAGTCCTGGTCTGGTCCTGATTTAGTCTTTGTTCAGTCCTGGTTCAGTCCTGGTTTAGTCCTGTTCAGTCCTGGTTTAGTCTGGTTCAGTCCTGGTTCAGTCCTGGTTTAGTCCTGGTTTCAGTCCTGGTTCAGTCCTGGTTCAGTCCTGGTTCAGTCCTGGTCTGGTCCTGTTTAGTCCTGGTTCAGTCCTGGTTCAGTCCTGTCAGTCCTGGTCAGTCCTGGTTAGTCCTGGTTCAGTCCTGTTCAGTCCTGGTTCAGTCCTGGTTCAGTCCTGGTTCAGTCCTGGTTCGGTCCTGGTTCAGTCCTGGTTTAGTCCTGGTTTAGTCCCGGTTGTGGAGGACGAGTCACATCTGTGTTGAATCGAGCGCTTCATAAATCTGGGCGGTGGCGTCGGGGCAGATCTGGTTTCAGGTTTTTCAGTTTTTACGGCGCAGAAAGTTTTTTTTTTTTTTTTACACGACTGAAGCGTAATTGAAATGTTCTGTGCAAAAGTCGCCATTTCCTGTTGGCGTCAGAGAAAACGGATCAAAACGTGACCTTAAATGAACGAGCGAGAAGAGCGAGAGTTTCAAGATGTTCTGGGTTAGAAAGAAAAAAAAACAAGAAAAAAGAAGCAGCAGCTGTGACGGTGGAAGAGGGTCAGATGCCCTCCCAGTCCTGGTTTAGTCCTGGTTTAGTCCTGGTTTAGTCCTGGTTTAGTCCTGGTTTGGCCCTGGTCCTGATTCGGTCCTGGTTCAGTGTTGCTTTAGTCCCGGTTTAGTCCATGTTTAGTCCTTGTTCAGACCTAGTTTTGTCCTGGTTTAGTCCAAGTTTAGTCCAAGTTTAGTCCAAGTTTAGTCCAAGTTTAGTCCAAGTTTAGTCCAAGTTTAGTCCTGGTTTAGTCCTAGTTTTAGTCCAAGTTTAGTCCAAGGTTTAGTCCAAGTTTAGTCCTGGTTTAGTCCAAGTTTAGTCCAGGTTTAGTCCTAGGTTTAGTCCAAGTTTAGTCCAAGTTTAGTCCAAGTTTAGTCCTGGTTTAGTCCTGGTTTTAGTCCTGGTTTAGTCCTGGTTTAGTCCAAGTTTAGTCCTAGTTTAGTCCTAGTTTAGTCCAAGTTTAGTCCTAGTTTTAGTCCAGGTTTAGTCCTGGTTTAGTCCAAGTTTAGTCCTGGTTTAGTCCTGGTTTAGTCCTGGTTTAGTCCAAGTTTAGTCCCAAGTTTAGTCCAAGTTTAGTCCAGGTTTAGTCCAGGTTTTAGTCCAGGTTTAGTCCTAGTTTAGTAGTCCAAATTTAGTCCAAATTTAGTCCTGGTTTAGTCCTGGTTTAGTCCTGGTTTAGTTAATAAAATCAAATTAAATACATTAAATCAAAATAAAAAATGTATAAAATAAATTAACATAAATGTGCATAAATAAAAATAAAATTGACATAAAAATACAATTAAATAAATTAATAATAAATAAAAATAAATTAACATAATCAAATAAATTAAATATATTAAATTAACAAACATATAAAATAAATGTACATAAATAAACATACAATTAACATAAAAAAATTAATAAAAATAAAAAATAATAAATTAATGTAATTAAATAAAATTAAATACATTAAATTAAAATAAAAAAACATAAAATAATTTTACATAAAAAATAACATAAAACTAATAAAAAAATTAAAAAATATATATAAAATTATATTTAAACAATTATAATAAAATAATAAATCAAATTCAAATAAATTAATGTAATAAAAACGTGTCCTGAGGGAGTAAGATGTCAGCCAATGTGTTCAGCTCCAGTCAAATGAAGCTCAGCGAGGCCGGCGGTTACAGGAACAAATGTGAGTTTGACATGATCGTATCGTTGAGGCGGCGAGTGCCTCTGTGATCACTTTCTCTCTGGAATCACCATTTCCATTTATACAAACAGTTTGGGGTTTGAACAGAACAGACTGACCTGTGGGGGCCTCCATCTGACGTCCTTTCTTTTCTGGGATGATGATTTCTTCCACTGGAGCTTCTGGGGCTGAAGCCTCTGGTACCGGAGCTTCTGGTGCGGGTTCTTCTGGCGCTGCAGCCTCTGAAGCGGGTTCCTCTGGTGCTGGAGAATCATCCTGAAACAGATTATTGAGCGTGAGCGTCTGAGAGGATTAACATCACGCTGGAGATGTTCTGCTGGCATCTCTGTTTAGATTTTTCTGGTCAGATTGTGCTAAAGTGAAGCTCAGATTGAGTCTAGTTTGAGTAACGGAGCTTCAGACAGAGCAGTGCCTTGAGTTTGAGAATAAAACATGAAGCAGACTCACCGTGGCTGCAGAGGTGTCGTCGACTGCCTCTGAAAGAAGAAAAAAAGAGGATTTAAAGTGAGTTTGTCGATGATGTCAATAAATAAAAGGGCGAATCCTGGGAGAATTTAATTTAAAAACATATATATTTACAAAAAAGTAGTGTAGTTGTTTTTCTTTGTTACATAATTCCATATATTTGTCCAAAACTTTCTTTCAATTCATCTAATCTTTGTTTCATTCACACGTTTAACTCTCAAACCTTCATATTACAGAAAAGAGCAAGAAGAATAAATCGTAACGTTGGATTTTTTCTCTTTTTATCACTTCAAAAATGTTCAAACTTAAAGATCTGAGAAGCTTCCAGAGCGCAAAAATAATGTACCAGGCAAAAAGAAAAAAAGAACTACCAAAAATATTCAGAGACTTTTTATTGAAAGAAAAAGTTCTTATAATTTAAGGTGAATGTGTCTCTTTAAAATGACCAAAGTTCGTACGACAAGGAAAAGTTTTTGTGTTTCAGTTCGTGAGGTCAAAATCTGGAATGACTGATTTAAATTTTGTAGTTTTAGTTTTGGAGTTTGAGATGGAGGCAAATATGGAAACATCTGAATAAAACTTGTGCTTCACTAGAATCATCTGGATTATTTCAGCTCTGGAGTTGTCGATCTCTACTCAACTAGAGTTAAAAGATTCTGTTCACTTGAAAACTATCGCTTCATGACATCACAAGGTGGAGCAGAGCGTTTGGAGCTTTGGAGATGTAAACAGACGAATAATCAGTGTTGGGAAAGTGACTTTAAAAGTCATAAATAACAAATTACAGTTTTGAAGTTACAATATTACTGTATTTAAAATGTAAGACATCTTTGCATTATATTTAAAGGTTGTATGGAGGATTTTTTTTTGTTTCAAATTGTCAGTGATAGATTATAGATGCAGTCGCCTTGTAATTATGATGACCAAAAAAAGAGAATAAAAATTCATCAACTCTGGACGTGGTGGGGCTAAACATTTGCCAATAGATAACGACACTGCCTCGTTATCTGTGAGCTGACAGGCTGTCAATCAAACTCCCTACGTTTCTAGTGTAACTGACTTGCCTGCGCCGCCGGTACGTGGTTTACGTACGACTGTCACACAGTCCACAGACGCAAGACGCACAGACGCTGTTTACTCCACCAACACAACAGTTCTTAGCGGCTTTTTTTACCTATATCTTCCTCGCAGTTCGCACAAAGTTTGTTGCGATGGCGACAAGAATCCAGGAGCAGTTCGCCGCAAAAGAAAGTCCGTTTTTGAGGTCGCTGAAAGAAGAAGACAAGGGGAAAAGCAGCGAAGCCAAACTAAGGTGATTCTTGTAGATTCATTCCAGCGATGGCGCGACTGAAGCAGACGCAGGTCTAAAGACTGAACCACTGGTCCACAAATTACTCCTGGACAGGAAACTTCTGCTTATTATGAAAACGTACTTTATTTCCAAGAGCTACACAAACGTTTTTCAGGACACGAAAGTGATATTCCTATGTCTGAAAACGTCATTTTCAATGCAAAGAAAGAGTCCGCTTGCTGCTGCGTGTTTGTAGTTAGTTCATTCGCACTGAATCTCCGCGCAACCTTCTCTGCTCCCCTTTCCTGCTCCTCTCCCCTCTGCCCGTTCCGCTCTTCCCCCTGCTCCTCACTTCTCCGTCTTGCTTAACCAACACTGTAGTTAGTTGTTTTACAAGTCATGTGCAGCGGCTGTAAACAAACCTGTTTGTGGCGTAAGGAGGAGGAGGGAGGAGGTGTTTCTACGTAGGAGCTGTAGGGGAGGGGAGGTGGTTTCACACATGAGCAACATTTGAAAAAGGACAAACAGTCGCTGGATTTCTCCTTCCTTGGAAAATCCTCTATACAACCTTTAAGTTACTTTCACCAAAATAACGGGAAATATGTTTGGCACCTGAATGTCGCTCATGACACTCAGGTTAAATTTACACTGAAACAAATCACTGGATCATTGTATCGGAAACGATCTGCGTCCAGACTCGTTGTTTCTTGAACAATCAAAGATCACACTATGGCTGCGTTCAGTCTGCACCTGAAGTGACCCAAATCTGATTTTTTCGCTTCTATGTTCCTGTATTTGATCTTTTAATGTCAGTCTGAACCACACAGATCAGATTTTTTCAAATGTGACCCAGGACACTTGGATCTGTGCTCCTGAAACTGATACATATCTGATCTTTTGACTTGTGACTTCAGTGTGAACGGACAAAGTGCATTCATCCACCTACACGTCATCAACAAGACACAAACGTCACTATTCTGCGCTGAAGCAGGCGGAAACCAGAACTTTAAAATCTCCAGGTGCTCGATGCTGCGTCCATGTTTGGACAACTTCCATAAACACAGAGACGCTCGCTGCGGTTGACGTCGTCGTGTCTCCAGTGTCACATGTGGGACACTTTCGGGCCGTTTACCGTTCACACTGGAGACACATACAAGTCGCATTTAATTGGAAATGTGAACGACCTCGCAAAAACATCGGATTTCACAAAAAAAAAATCGGAATTGAGCGTTAAAGGTTGTATAGAGGATTTTTTAAGGGAAGCGAAATACAGCGACCGTCCTTTTTCAAATGTTGTGCATGTGTGACACCACCTTCCTCAGTAGAAACACCTCCTCCTCCCGCCTCTTTACTCTACAAATCACGTTTGTTTACATCCAGTGCATGTTCAGAATTACTGTTGAAGTGACCTGCCTAGAAATATTTTAGCGACCGACGCGTCAGTTTTTAGACCCTTCGGACTTTCTTTTGCGGCGAACCGGTCGTGGATTCTCGTCCGCCGTCGCGACAAACTTTGTGCGAACTGCGAGGAAGCGACAGTTTGAAAAAGCCTCTAAGAACCGCCGCATAAACCACGAAATCCCCGAGCGTCGACGACTCAGTTACACTAAAAATGTAGGGAGTTTGACTGACAACCTAACAGCCAATAGAAAAAGAGGGAGCCTCGTTTTCTATTGGCTGATGTTTATCTGGCCTCACTACGTCCACAGTTGATAGATTTTCGTTCTTTTTTTTTTTCGGTCATCATAATTAAAAGGCTGCTGCGTCTCTGTAATGGTGTTTTAAACTTTCATTGACAATTGTAAATAAAGTTCTCGTGCTTAAGACCCCAGTTGGTCTCCAGACTTTTACTTCCATTCTTTCTTGGACAAACTGAAGACTTTGACATCGCTGCGTTTACCTGCACCAGGACCAAACCGGGACACTGATGGAAACAAACTCACTGATGGAACAGAGTTTCCAAGGAACCAGAGACAAACGAGGGACTGAGAGAATCCGTGTATCATTCGTTCATTCGTTTTTCAATATAAAACCAAAAATAAGAAAACGAAAAAAACAACAGTTTTCTTCATTATTTGTCTCCAAAACCAAAATTAAAAAACGGATAACGATTTGTTTTTTCAGTTTTCGATTTTGTGTTTAAATGAAGAATGGAAAAAACGGATAACGGCCGTTTCCCGTTTACGTGACTTCAGTGACTGCGATGCCGAACTTTTGCACCGCATACGGACTGAATCAGGATGGATCCAGGTCCGAGACCAGACCGGGACTGAGACCGGGACAGACCGGGACCAGACCGGGACCAGGGTGGACTCCGAGCTCTGACTCCGAGCCTCCGCGGGTCCGAGCCTCAGCTTCAAGCTCCGGTCCTGCCGTGGGCTCTGAGCCTCCGGTCTGGGTCCCGGTCTGGTCCCGGTCTGACCCAGTCTCAGTAGCGCTCTGGTCCCAGTCTGGTCCTGGACCTGGTCCATTTGAACCAAAAGCTCTTAGTTTGGTTTGTTTTCATTGGTGTGAAAGCGTCAGTTGGATGTTTTGCTCCACCTCGGAACCAGTCGTGGTTCTTGAGTGTGGAGGACTGGAGCAGCTCTGTCCAGACCTGTAGTCCACAGAACATTCTCACTTTCCCTGCACGGAACCAGCGCACAGACGATGACACGGAACCACTCGGCCCACTGGTCCTGGTCTCAGTCCCGCTCTGGACTCTGGTCTCGGACCTGGATCAGTCCTGATTCAGTCCGTATGCGGTGCAAAAGTTCGGCATCGCATTCACTGAAGTCACGTAAACGGGAAACGGCCGTTATCCATTTTTTCCATTTTTCATTTAAACACAAAATCGAAAACTGAAAAAACAAATCGTTATCAGTTTTTTAATTTTGGTTTTGGAGACAAATAATGAAGAAAACTGTTGTTTTTTTCGTTTTCTTATTTTTGGTTTTATATTGAAAAACGAATGAACACGGATTTGAGAGGACGAGACTCCAGACAAAGACTCATCTCCTCACGACACCACACACACACACATTCAAGTTTGTCGAGTAAAAATGAACACGATCGACGAAATTCTTAATGATCAATTATCAATTAGTCGACTAATCATGTCCATCCATAGTTTGTACCAAATAAATTATTAGCAATTTTTTTTCTATAATGCCTTGCATCACTGCGTTACAGCAAAAAAAAAAAAAAAGGTGTGTTTATGTTGCACTATCACATTTATTTTGTTTGATTTTGCCAAATTTGTGTCAGTGTGGTTGGTTGGAGGGAAATGTTTTTGTTTTTTTTGTATTTTTTGTATTTGTTGTGGATGTTTTATGTTTTTGTCTCTGTTTTATGCTGAATATTGTAATTGTTAAATGTTAACTGTTGTTTTATTTTCTAAATATTTATAGTATTTATAGTTATGTTCTGTTCATTAAAAAAAAAAAATTGCCAAATTTGTGTCTGTGTGGGTGGTTGGGGGGAAATTATTTTATTTTATTTGTATTTGTAGTTTTTTTGTTTTGTTTTGTATTTGTTGTTGCTTTATGTTTTTGTCTCTGTTTTATGCTGAATATTGTAATTGTTAAATGTTGATTGTTGTTTTATTTTCTAAATGTTATATTCTGTTGTCCTTAATAAAAAAAAAATTTAAAAATTGTTTTAAAAAGCAACACATTACATTAATTTGTTGCTTTTGTGATGCGTTACTTCCAACGCTGCAATAATAAAGAGTCACTCAAACAAGTGAATGAAACAAAACAAAACTCCAGCTCGGTTTTTGGTAAATTTTGCGTAATATAAAATATATATAAAAAAAAAAAAAAAAAACGTGTCCAAACTTTTAGACCTGTAGACCTGAGCTCGTTCCTCGTTCTTACCCGTGTTTCCGGAGTCGGTTTCCTCTGGTACGGGCGCGGCGGCGACTTCGGGGGCTTCGGTTTCTTCAGTTTCAGCGGCGGCGGCGTCGTCTTCGGTCGTCGCCTCCGCCTCAGCTTCGGTGGGAACTTCGGCCTCGGCGGGGACCTCGGTCTCCACGGCGACCACTTCCTCCTCCGCCTCAGTCGGAGCTTCGGTCTCCTCCTCCTCCTCGGCGGCGGCGGAATCATCGACCACCGCCTCAGGAGCTTCGGTTTCCTCCTCTTCCACCACTTCTTCTTCTTCTTCTTCTTCTGCTCCGGTTGTAGTCGCCGCGTCGTCTTCTGTACCTGCAGCTTCGGTGGCCTCCTCAGCTTCAGCGTCTGTCACCTCCGTTGCTTCTTCTTCTTCTTCTTCAGTGTCATCACCTCCAGCTTCTTCTACCGCCTCCTCTTCTCCTGCTTCGGCTTCTCCGGTTTCTTCCACAGCCTCTTCTTCCGTTTCAGCATCTCCGGCTTCTTCTTCTTCTTCTTCTCCGCCGGCTTCAGCTTCTCCGGTTTCTTCCTCCGCAGCCTCTTCTTCTCCAGCTTCGGCGTCTCCGGTTTCTTCTTCGGCAGCCTCTTCTTCTCCAGCTTCTTCAACGGCTTCTTCTTCTTCGTCTTCGGTCGCCGCGTCTCCCGTGTCTCCGGCGTCCGCGGCCGTTTCCTCCTCGGCGGCGGCGGCGTCGTCCGTCACCTCCTCCTCCTCCTGCCGGAAGAAGAAGAACGTCAGAGGAACATTCGGTCGCTCGAGAACGATACGGGTTTTGGGGTTTTCAGTTGAAACGAGTGAAACGGGGGCCTCACCTCAGCGGCGGCGGCTTCATCGCCAACGTATTCTTCCACCGATTCCTCCACTTCTTCTTCTACAAAAAACACAAAAACAACAATTACAGAAAACCGAACGACACACATTTCACGGTAGAAGGTTTATTGCGACATTTGTGGAGTAAAAGCTTCGATATTGTGAAAATCGTCCAGTTGAAATATGAAGAATTAAGATTTAAAAGTTTATGAATGTAAACTTGGCACTGGCAACACCAAAGGATCATGGGAGATGTAGTTTTCTCATTTTTTTTAGTTATTGCTGCATCAGAGAGACTTGGAATTTGATATACAGACAGTGTCGGGGAGTAACAGATTACATGTACTGGAGTAATCAGAGTACAAATGATGAGTAACTGTATTCAGTTACAGTTACTGTTTCAGTGAGTGGTAATTGGATTACAGTTACTTTAATGAAATAAATGGATTACACAGAGGGATTTAACTGTTTTCACATTTTGGGCTAAACCAGGACTAAACCAAAACCAGGTCTAAACCAGGTAAACCTAAACCAGGTCTAAACCAGGAGGTCTAAACCAGGTCTAAACCAGGACTAAACCAGGTCTAAACCAGGACTAAACCAGGTCTAAAACCAGGTCTAAACCAGGACTAAACCAGTCTAAACCAGGTCTAAAACCAGGTCTAAACCAGGTCTAAACCAGGACTAAACCAGGTCTAAACCAGGACTAAACCAGGTCTAAACCAGGTCTAAACCAGGACTAAACCAGGACTAAACCAGGTCTAAACCAGGTCTAAACCAGGTCTAAACCAGGTCTAAACCAGGACTAAACCAGGTCGAAATCAGGTCTAAACTAGGACTAAACCAGGTCTAAACCAGGACTAAACCAGGTCTAAACCAGGTCTAAACCAGGACTAAACCAGGTCGAAATCAGGTCTAAACCAGGACTAAACCAGGTCTAAACCAGGACTAAACCAGGTCTAAACCAGGACTAAACCAGGTCTAAATCAGGACTAAACCAGGACTAAATCAGGATCGATTATCCCTCGACTTTTCATCCAATCCAGACAAACAAAAGGCGTAAAAATCTCACAAGATCATTTTTCTCTCTTCAGTTTTGTCTCGCGAAACCTCGAATCCTGCGTCTTCGAAACTCAGACGACACGGACTTTCTCAAAACTCTAAACTCTAAAGTGTCTGCGGTGACTCGGTGGCGTTGGCGCGGCGACCGTTGACCTGCCCCGGCGCCGTCATGTGAGCGGGCGACCTCGGCAGCTGCACACTAATGAGCCCGGCGCCGCCTCCTCCGTCACTCCGGGCGCGTTTGGCGTTCGGACCGAGACGACACATTCCCCCGGAGCGTGCGAGGAGCCGAGTCAGCGCTTCTCCTCCTCCTCCTCCTCCTCCTCCTCCTCCTCCTCCTCCTCCTCCTCGCCGCCGCCGCCGCCGCAGACACACGCCGCCGCAGATCTGAGAGACGGACTTTTGAGACGCTCACGATACGGTTTTTTTTTCTGATGTTGTTTTGGCGTCGCAAATGGAAACACGGGAGATGAGTTTAGTTTCATAAAACAAGATTAAATCAGAACTAAACCAGGACTAAACCCAGATCTAAACCAGGACTAAACTAGAACGAAACCAGGACTAAAATCAGATCTAAACCAGGACTAAACCAGGACTAAAACCAGACTAAACCAGGACAAAAAACAGACTAAACCAGGACTAAAACCAGACTAAACCAGGACTTAAACCAGACTAAACCAGGACTAAAACTAGACTAAAACCAGGTCTAAACCAGGACTAAACAAAGATTAAACCAGGACTAAAACCAGACTAAAACCAGGTCTAAACCAGGACTAAAACCAGATTAAACCAGGACTAAACCAGGTCTAAACCAGGACTAAAACCAGACTAAACCAGGACTAAAACCAGACTAAACCAGGACTAAAACCAGACTAAACCAGGACTAAACCAGGTCTAAAACCAGACTAAACCAGGACTAAACCAGGACTAAACCAGGTCTAAAACCAGGTCTAAAACCAGGACTAAACCAGGTCTAAAACCAGATTAAACCAGGACTAAACCAGGTCTAAAACTAGACTAAAACCAGGACTAAACCAGGACTAAAACCAGATTAAACCAGGACTAAACCCAGATTAAACCAGGACTAAAACTAGACTAAAACCAGGTCTAAACCAGGACTAAACAAAGATTAAACCAGGACTAAACCAGGACTAAACCAGGTCTAAAACCAGACTAAACCAGGACTAAACCAGGTCTAAAACCAGATTAAACCAGGACTAAACCAGGTCTAAAACTAGACTAAAACCAGGACTAAACCAGGACTAAAACCAGATTAAACCAGGACTAAAACCAGATTAAACCAGACTAAAACCAGGTCTAAACCAGGACTAAACAAAGATTAAACCAGGACTAAACCAGGACTAAAACCAGACTAAAACCAGGTCTAAAAACCAGGACTAAAAACCAGACTAAACCAGGTCTAAAACCAGACTAAACCAGGACTAAACCAGGTCTAAAACCAGATTAAACCAGGACTAAACCAGGACTAAACCAGGTCTTTTTGTCCAGTTCAAACGTAAAACAAGTGTGAAAAAAATCTCACGAGATCTTTTTTTTTTTCTAGTGGCACAAAATCCTAAACCCAAACTAAAAACCCAAAATTCTAGGTCTTCAAAAAATTTGAGTAATTAGATTCAAAAGTATTATTTTAAACTGAAACATCAGGATTCTTAAAAGTCTGTTCTTTATGTCGGCACTAAAACCAGGACTAAACCAGGACTAAATACTTCTGTTTGTAAAGGACGAGTATCTCCACGGAGACCAGCAGATGTTCCACAGAAAGCTCCACCAGAAAAGTTCCACAGCGCGGCTTTAAAAACGGTTCGCGCCTTCAAACCTCGTCGTTCGTCTTCGTCTCCTTCAGGACTCGGGTTCAAAGACTCCCGCGGCGTTACGTAATCCTCCCGAGGTTACATCATCCCAACGTGAAAGTGCACATCCCGCGCTCCCAAGTGCTTCCAGGAAAATAAATACTAAAAAAACCGAGAGTCTGACAAGTCCAAAAGTCTCCAGGAATCACGAGTGTCGTTTAAACGCTTCATGTTACACCGTTTTCTCAGGTTTTCTCAGGTTTTCTGATGTTTTCTAATTGTTTCCAAATCTCAAACAGACCTGGACTTTTGTTTTGGTTCATTCACCAAATGTTTAACTCACAAATCTGCAGTTTGAGGAAGAGTTTTTCCTCACAAAAATAAATGGAAAATAAAAATGGAAAAACAGGATTAAACAAAAGGCTAAAAAACAGGACTGAACCAGGTTTAAAACAGGTTTAAAACAGGTCTAAACCGAGACTAAAACAGGACTGAACCAGGACTAAAACCAGGACTAAACAAGGACTAAACCAGGACTAAAACGGGTCTAAAATGGGTCTAAACCAGGACTAAAACAGGACTAAAACCAGGACTAAACAAGGACTAAGACAGGACTAAACCAGGACTGAACCAGGACTAAAATCAGGACTAAACCTGGACTAAACCAGGTTTACAACAGGACTAAACCAAGACTGAACTAAGGCTAAACCAGGACTGAACCAGGACTGAACCAGGTTTAAAACAGGTCTAAACCGAGACTAAAACAGGACTGAACCAGGACTAAAACCAGGACTAAACAAGGACTAAACCAGGACTAAAACCAGGACTAAAACCAGGACTAAACAAGGACTAAACCAGACTAAACCAGGACTAAAATCAGGACTAAACCTGGACTAAACCAGGTTTACAACAGGACTAAACCAAGACTGAACTAAGGCTAAACCAGGACTGAACCAGGACTAAACCAGGTCTAAACCAGGTCTAAACAAGGTCTAAACCAAGGTCTAAACCAGGTCTAAACCAGGACTAAACAAGGACTAAACAAGGTCTAAACCAGGTCTAAACCAGGTCTAAACCAGGACTAAACCAGGTCTAAACCAGGTCTAAACAAGGACTAAACCAGGTCTAAACCAGGTCTAAACCAGGTCTAAACCAGGTCTAAACCAGTTTTAAAGCAGGACTAAAAAGTAAAAAGGATTCATCTTAAATTAACTCAAATAAAGTGTAAAAATAAAACTCCTCTATGAGTTGTTTAGTTAAATCAGAACAACTCTACAAAGTGTTCACTCCGTTTACTCTCAAAACGTTAAAATAACTCTGGATTTCCGGTTAAACAGGAACAAAAATGTCAAATTAACTCAGGTTGGACTCATCTAAACCCTGAGAAAATGTGAAAACTGATTCTGCGAGAGTCGATTTTAACACTCCACGTTTTACTCTGAGTTTTTGTCGAGGTTCCTACGAGAAACGTAAAAGAATCTTTAAACGAGGAATGTAATAAATTGCAGCTTTCGTCAGGTTTACGACACAAACGAGTTTTTAGTGAAAGAGTTTGAGGCGGGTGAGACGGGGGCGGGTGAGACAGGGGCGGGTGAGACAGGGGGGGGTGAGACAGGGGCGGGTGAGACGAGAGCGGAGGCCTGGGGGCGGGTGAGAGGGGCGGGTGAGGGGCGGGTGAGACAGGGGCGGGTGAGACAGGGGCGGGTGAGACAGGGGCGGGTGAGACAGGGGCAGGGGGTGGGCGAGCAAGTATAAATCCCCTAAAACTCGAGCTGCTCTCACTTTTTACGAACGCAGATCACAGTTTGTTTAAAGACGTGAAGTCAGGCTCCAGTCAAATGAAGCTCATCGAGGCCAACGGGTCCAGGAGCAAATGTGGAGCTTTTCAAAATAAAACCAAAAATAAGAAAACGAAAAAAACAACAATTTTCTTCATTATTTGTCTCCAGAACCAAAATGAAAAAACGGATGATGATTTGTTTTTTCAGACTAAACCAGGACTAAACCAGGTAAACCTCTAAACCAGGACTGAACCAGAACTAAACTAGGATTAAACCAGGACTAAAACACGACTAAAACTGGACTAAACCAGGACTAAACCAGGACTAAACCAGGACTAAACCAGGTCTAAACCAGGTCCACGGTCGTACACGAGTCTCTGTCTCTTGCTCCAGATCGTTCGAAAGTT